TTTAAGCTGTCCCTCTCATATCAGGTTTGTGACTAAATGAAGGCCACTGCGTTGGAGAAATATCGTCAATAAAAATTCCATGTAACCGCATCTGTGTTCTATACCATGGCAAAGATCATGTTGATCCTAACAAGTTGTTTATGTGGATGTGTGTATTAAGTGACAGCAGAAGGTATATAATAAAGAAGCTAAACTCTACAGATGTTAAATTTATTGTTTAGTCAATATTAGGAGCATCCGGCTTTAAGTGGTTTTCAAGGCTTACCTTCCTGATATCCATTATTGAAATGTGGATAGCTTAATAGTTTGGAGAGTGTCTAAGTTCAAAGAAACATGTGAAAAGGAGGATTAAGAGATACCTGTAAAACTATTTAATATTGTGCACTACAAATTTTCTTAAATTAATAGTTTAACATTTACAATCAGTCTTTTGGGGAATTAATAAATTAATTTAAAAGAGGACTATTCGAGATTAAATGAAAGAAATCGATATATCTGCTAAAAGGAACGTTTCAAACATTTGTTACAAAATTTACATAAATTAAGTAATCAGTTATTAATTTAAAACATTTTTGCCCTAGAGAAGCGATTGAAAAGAAAGCCAAAACTTCAAAATTTAAAATGAAGACGAGATAATTGCTGCAAAAATTTTAATAAGGCGCATTACCCTGATATTCTTTTGTAGTATAAACCTCTGATAATTTTTATGGGCCCTTAGTAGTAGTTTTTCTTGAATATAAATTTTCTATAAAATGAAAATTTATTAGTATTATTGCCAGCTTATTCAATGCTGCCTTGGCTAACCATAGTTGCTGTCTTTGGATACATTATGATTACTTTCTACATTTACTAGTTAATGTCCTATTTATCCTTAGCCTAAGAGTTAATAGATTTTTTTAAGTCAACTGCCGTGTCCCGCTAAGGCTGGGTGACACAAAGAGGGAAACAGTGTGCTGACATCGTAATCAGATTATTGATCGATATATTCACATAAATTAGCATGGTATGCATTTTTTGGCACCAGAAGCTTCTTAGCAACATAACCTAACCTTGGTTTGAAGTCTTTTAACTCACTGTATTAGCCAAACTGTTGACAGCAACTGACAAACGGGCATACGACCTCCAGGAAAAGGGCTTAGCAATTAACTGACCACGTCATCTACAGAGACCGTGACAGCGAAGCAGGCGATTCTCAAGACACTTTCTTGTGGAACTCGATCCTCTTTGGGGAACGCCATTAATAATGATCATCACCCTTTGCCTGCAGCACTATGTGACGTCATGTAAACTGGGATAAATTAAAAAAAAAGCGGGACCATGGGGACATTTGATAGACTTTGATAATTACAAGTGATTGGGCTACATATCTTTGATCTCCCTCCTCCTTTTTGCCACAGCTTCACCCATTTCAATTTTTTTCTCTCTCTTTCTCTCTCTCTCTCTCTCTCTCTCTCTCTCTCTCTTCTCTCTCTTTCTTCTCTCTCTCGTCTCCTCCTCTCTCACTCTCTCTCTCTCTCTCTCTCTCCTCTCTCTCTCTCTCTCTCTTCCTCTCTCCTCTCTCTCTCTCTTCTCTCTCTCTCTCTCTCTCTCTTCTTTTCTTTTTTTACACAGGGTTTGACAAGGTTAAGGATCCCTAGCTTTATTGACAAGCTATTTACAGGTTAAGGATTCCTAACTTTATTGGCAAGCTAAGAGCTGTTACCTACATCAGCTCATTTGAAAGCATTTTTATTGTTATGAGACATACAAGTAGGGAACATAATGAAGTTGGAGCCATCTGTGGGCCAGCATTTTCATTTGATCAACTGACTTTATCTCGTTGACATCATTATGCTGTACGAATGTGTTCCATACTCGAGTCATCCTGGGTATGTATGATCTCAGATGGAGTGATGTTCTGGAGAAGGGTACAGCCAGAGTGAAGTTGCTGCTTTCTGCCCGTCTTGTGGCATAAAAGCTTGTTTCACGCTGTCCTCGAAGTGGATCCAAGTGTGGTATTTTGACAATATTGGCCTTGTACATAACAGTAAGGCCACCCACATCCCTCCTATGTTGAAGGCTCTGCTGAAATGACAGATCTATCCAGGATGGGTCCAGGCGAGAGATGAGACGTCTTGCTCTGTTCTCTACTCTGTCAAGCAGTCGCAGATGAGAGGGGGGGCAGGCAACCCAAGAAAGTGGAGCATACTCAAGGTGTGAGCGTACTTGTGCCTCGTACAGGATCTTGCAACCCCTACTGTCAAGCAGATGCGAGATACGGCGAAGTGCTGTAAGCTTCCTGGCTGCCTTGTTTGCAAGATTTACAACATGGTTCTTCATGGTTAGTTTGGAGTCAAATTTCACCCCAAGGATATCAACTTCTTCTCCAGGTGCCAACATCGTCCCATTCATCCTTACTACTGCGCCAGCATTACCAAACATGGTGCCTAGAGACGACATCATTTGCGTTTTTTAGGTGCAAATGTTACTTGCCATCTATTTCCTCAAGCTGATATAGCTCTCAGCTGGTGATTGATGTAGCTTAGAGCAGCTGGCATTTCTTCTCTTGGATAAGTGAATGTCAGTGTACAGTCGTCTGCATATGCATGTGATTCTGGGATGAGATGAAGAAGTCGTTGAAGTAGACATTCCATAACAATGGACCCAGCACGCTTCCTTGTGGAACACTTGCCCCAATAGGATGCCTTGCTGATTCCGTTCCATTGAGGACTACACTTAGAGATCTACCATGAAGGTAATCACTGAGGAGACATAGCGTAGAGCCTGCAATTCCCAGTGCTTAAAATTTTGAAAAGAGGCCCTGGTGCCACACCCGGTCAAAAGGGCCCCAGCAATTCCTGCTACCACACAGCTGATTTTGGATTACCCGGGACGGGTGCCACTTAAGGAGAGGTTTAAAAACAGATCAGCACAGAGAAACCTTTCCTGGCCATATTACGATCACAAAGTATGAGTGGTAGTAAAAAAACTCTGTCATTTTTTCTTGAGATTATTGTCTAAGGAAAACTTACCATGAGACAGGAGTGACACTGGTCTGTAGTTTCTGATTTTCTGCTCTGCTCTTCTTTTTGTAACGGGACTACATTTCCTCTTTCCATAAGAGGGCCATTTACACGTACAGGCAGTGCTGAAAGATGCGGTTGAGGTGCGCAGCTGGGCGCACATCTTTTCAACAATCGGGCCAACTTGTCTGGGCCCCCCAGCCTTTTTTTTGGTCAAAACGATTTAAGAAGGGAAATGCACCTCCTCCTGCCTTAGGTCACCACTGACAGTTTTGACACAGTTCTTGCAGCTAGCCAAGAGGGGCCCTTGCTGATCAACTTTCTTTTTTTACAAAGTGTTCAGCAAAAAAGGTCCGCCTTCTCTTTACTACTAGTAGGGTGGGCCCCTCCTGTCGATTTAGAGGTGGGAAAAAGTTCATCAGGCAGATAACCTTGTTGTCCTTGACCCGGGGGCCCACCAGTTTTGGAGCCCCCTACCTGATGCAACTTTCTTTTAGTGTCCCCCCCCTCTCTCTCTCCTTTTTTTTTTTTTTTTTTTTTTTTCTTTCCCCTTTTTCCCTTTTCCCCTCTTTTTCCTTTTCCCTTGTCCCTTCCCTTTTTCCCTCTTTCCTCTCCTCTTTCTTTTTTTTTTCTCCCCATTTTTTCCCCCTCTTCCCCCTTTTCTTTTCATTTCCCTTTTCCCCCTTTTCTTTTCCCCTCTCTCTCTCTCTCTCTCCCTCCCCCTCCTCTCTCTCATCTCTCTCTCTCTCCCCGCCCCCCCCCCCCCCTTTTTTTCCCCCCCTCTTCCCCCTCCTCCCTCTTTTCTCTCCCCCTCTCCCCTCTCTCCCCTTCCCCCCCTCTTCTCTCTCTCCCCCCCTCCCCCCCCCCTCTTCTCTCTCTCCCCCTCTCCTCGTCTCCCCCTCCCCCTCCCCCCTCTCTCTCCTTCCCCCCTTCCCTCTCCCCCCTCTCACCCCCCTCTCCTCTCTCCCCCTCTCCCCCCCTTCCCCTCCCTCCCCCCCCTTTCTCTCTCCCCCTTTCTCCCCTTGCTCTCTCTCTCTCCTCTCCCTCTCCCCCTCTTTCCCTCCCCTCTCTCCTCTCCCCCCCCTTTTCCCCCCTTCTCTCTCTCTCCCCTCTCTCCTCTCCTCTCTCTATCCTCCCCTCCTCTTCTCTCCCCCTTTCCTCTCCTCTCTCCCCCCTTTCTCCTCTCTCTCTCCTCTCTCCCTCTCTCTCCTCCCCTCTTCTCTCCTCTCCCCCTCTCTCATCTCCCTTTCTCTCTCTCTCTCCCCTCTCTCTCCTCTCCCCCTTCCCCTCTCTCTCTCTCTCTCTCTCTCTCTCCCCTCTCTCTCTCCCTCTTCCTCTCTCTCCCCCTCTCTCTCTCTCCCCTCTCTTCTCCTCTCTCTCTCCTTTTCTCCCCTCTCTTCTCTCCCCCCTCTCACTCCCTCCTTTTTCTCTTCTCTCTCTCTCTCCCCTCTCTCTCTCTCTCTCTCTCTCTCTCCTCTCTTCTCCCCCTCTCTTCCCCTCTCTCTCCCCTCTTCTCTCCCCTCTCCCCCTCTCTCTCTCTCTCTCTTCTCTCTCTCTCTTCTCGTCTCCATCTCTCTCTCTCTTCTCTCTTTTCCTCTTCTCTCTCATCTCCTCTCCCCTCTCTCCTCCCCCTCTCTTTTCTCTCTCCCTCTCTCTCTCTCTCTTTTCTCTCTCTCCCCTCTCCCTCTCTCTCTCCTCCCCCCTCTCTCCCCTCTTCCCCTCCCCCTCTCTCCCCTCTCCCCCTCTCTCTTCTCTTTTCCCCCTTCTCTCTCTCTCTCCCCCTCTCTCTCTTTCCTACCTCCGGGTCATAATTCGTTTTTTAAAACGCACCACATTGTATAACCCCGAATTATAAAAAATAAAGGTTTTAAAATTTTTTTTCTATCATTTTTATTTATTGGGAAAAGGGATTTTTGCATCGGGGAAAGGCTTCAGAGGGAAAAGGGTTTATTATAAAAATTACCTCGAATAAGCGGGAGATAAAAAATTTATAACCCGGGGGGTTGAAAGCATAGATCTAAAGAATGAAAAAAGGGGCAAAAATTTTGTCAAAATTTATGTAAGTATTTTTTATGTATTTGTCCGGGCCCATCCCTAAATCAGTTTTTCATTTTTGGCAAAAGACAGTCAAATGAGTAACTGTTAACAATGCCCCCTTCCATCGCTAGCGCACGCAGCTCACACTGGGGTCCGGGGGCCCGGGTTTCCACTGTACGGCTGGGAAAAAAATTAGGACGTGTTTCCTTAAGGGCGCAGTTACTAACTTTTTTTTTTTTTTTTTTTTTTTTCAAAACCCATTTATTTTATTTTTTGGGGTACTTTTAGGGTGCAATTGTAGAACATTGACAAAGTTTCATAGATTTGGGCCAAAAAACAACAAGAAAAAAAAAAATAAACAAAATTTTTATATATGGGGAAACATCCCCTGACAAAAATTTGGGGGTACGAGTGGCACTTTTTCCCACATTCCAACTGTTAGAAAATACAACACATACATTTTAAAATAGCCATTTCATCTAATATATCTTATTACAAAATTTAAAAAAAAAACATTTTACAAAAATTTTTGGATTTGCCAAAAAATCTGCCTTTTAAAAACCGGGAAAAATCAAAAAAAATTTTTAGAAATTCCAAAAAATTTTACGTCTCTATTTTTAAACACACTTTGTTTTAATTGTCCGTGAAAATCATTTCAATACAATCATTAAAATGGGTTATGGGGCGAAATAAGTGAAAAAGTTACTTCCGAGATAAGGCCCAGAACGTCGGCAGGCCTACCGTCTCAAAAAAAATTTTTTTTTGCACGGAAATCGTGTTTTTTTCCGTGTATTTCTTAGTAAACTGATGTTCTAGTGCAGTTATCCTCTTCAAAACACCGTTTTCTATCACTCACATACCAAACAATAGAAGAAGGGGACGAGGAGTAACTCATTTATATCGAATATTGCTGGTGGACTCTCTCTATATTATGGCCTACATCGCCGCCACCATACCTGATATAAATGACTATAATTTCTTGTAGAAATGTTGTAGAACATTGATTCTTGTACCATTGTGTTGCCAAAGAGTTAAGCTATTTTTCTGTATGAATAACTCATTTTCCATATTTTTTTCGATTTTTTGGTGTATTTAGGCTCAGACTCGGCGGACTGCGCCACCTGTTGTCCATGTTCACCTATCAGTCTAAAATGGGTACCTGGGTATTAGTCGACTGGTTTGGGTCGCATCCTGGGACAAAACTGATCTAATTTGCCCGAAATGTTCTACATAACAAGGGGCTTTCTACAGTGTCATTGATGTCGGTTAGGCCTGTATGCCTTCTAGAAATATAGTATTATTATTATAAGTGTTAACATGAACATATGCACGAAGAGATGTATATCTCGAGTTTATATGCTGTCTTTGCTATCATCCCTAGTTTATGGATTTAAAGCATTCTTGAATGGTTGTGAACAGGTCACATGTACTCTTAATGTTCCTTTGAGTAATCGATAGGCTTTAAGCTCAGTTAACCAACCAACCAGTCTTCAACAGTGGAAACATGATTGTATTTCCTAGTGCTCTTTAGTGGGTTCCCGTTTACTGTTCGCACTTCAAAACTTTTATCGCCGACTTTAAAAAATAATTTGTGTTAACTCTTATGCAGTACGCTCACACAAGCCTGCTGAATCCTCAAGCCTCTAAAACTCAAAGCCGCCTTTATCCCCCTCAAAATCAAAATCAAAAATCAAATAATAATAATATTAATAATATCTTTATTTACTACAGGTACACGTACATGGTATACATGCTTAGTTGACATCAGTGATATACTATTATATAGAAAGCCCCTTGTTATGCTGAACATTTCGGGCAAATTAGGTCAGTGTCTCAGGATGCGACCCACACCAGTCGACTAACACCCAGGTACCCATTTTACTGATGGCAGAACATAGACAACAGGTGGAAAGAAACACGCCCAATGTTTCTACTCTGGCTGGGAATCGAACCCAGGCCCTCGCCGTGTGAAGCAAGACCAGAGCCCCAAATCAAATTTTTGCTCATTATGTTTAGAGTTCCTTTAAAGCTTACAATGTGTGGTTAACATGTTATAAAATATGTATTAATTACAAAGAAGGCTGCTAGCATGCCTAGGCATTTCGGGCAGACTAATATTAATTCTTACTCTGTATTGATAAAGGTTATGGAGCAGTATATTTGAACATACATTATTAGATACATATATAATTAGATATTTTATTTTATTTTATATAACCGGACTTGAGTCCTGGTTAAAACAGCTGACCTGTGTGGTAAGTTTCTGGCGACTTCTGGCACCTGCCTTTTTAGGCCTATCACTTCAGTTTCAATTACACCTGTTTTAAATGACACTTTAGCATTTATTATCTATGGTACCACTGTAGTATACACCATAACACTATGTATACACAATATTATCAGGGAGACTTTCTTTCCTCTGACAAAGAAAAGTTCTTTTATTATTATTTTGTTCTATTATTATTATTTTGCACTCAGTTTCTAGCAAGCCGCTAACCAGACTGAGAGTCGAAGATCTAAATGAACTTTTTATGAGCCACAGAATTTGGTAAACACAAGCTTTAGCCTGGTGGCTAAAGCTCCCGCTTCACACACGGAGGGCCCGGGTTTGATTCCCGGCGGGTGGAAACATTTCGACACGTTTCCTTACACCTGTTGTCCTGTTCACCTAGCAGCAAATAGGTACCTGGGTGTTAGTCGACTACCTGGAGTTTACCTGGAGAGAGTTTCGGGGGTCAATGCCCCCGCGGCCCGGTCTGTGACCAGGCCTCCTGGTGGATCAGCGCCTGATCAACCAGGCTGTTGCTGCTGGCTGCACGCAAACCAACGTACGAGCCACAGCCCGGCTGATCAGGAACTGACTTTAGGTGCTTGTCCAGTGCCAGCTTGAAGACTGCCAGGGGTCTGTTGGTAATCCCCCTTATGTGTGCTGGGAGGCAGTTGAACAGTCTCGGGCCCCTGACACTTATTGTATGGTCTCTTAACGTGCTAGTGACACCCCTGCTTTTCATTGGGGGGATGGTGCATCGTCTGTGGGTCGCATCCTGGGGACAAGATTAAGGACCCCAATGGAAATAAGTTAGTCCTCGATGACGCACTGACTTTCTTGGGTTATCCTGGGTGGCTAACCCTCCAGGGTTAAAAATCCGAACGAAATCTTATCTTATTTTATCCTGACGCCAAATGACTTCGAACAGGCGATAAATGACATGCCCAGCACTCTGCCCCAGGGCCAGACTCATGGAACTCCGTGTTCATCAAGAACTGCAAGAAGCCCCTATCACGAACTTTTACCATCCTATGGAGAGAGAACATGGACACGGGGGTCGTACCACAGTTACTAAAAACAACAGACATAGTCCCACCCCACAAAGGAGGCAGTAAAGCAATAGCAAAGAACTACAGACCGATAGCACTAACATCCCATATCATAAAAATCTTTGAAAGGGTCCTAAGAAGCAAGATCGCCACCCATCTAGATACCCATCAATTACACTACCCAGGGCAACATTCAAATTCAAAGTTTATTCTCTATAAGGATTACAATGCTGAGTTTACAGAATTTGGTTATTGTGTGGTTTAGATTAGATTTTGCCACCGAAGTGGCTAGTTTATTGTGCACCCCATATCCATCCTGTGGACGGTAGCGCGAGAGCATATGGATACACAAAAGGCCTAGGAACTAGGCCCCAAAGGGTTAACAGGAATACATATGGATTTATATCTACATATCTATAGTTCACTTATCTGTTACAAGCAAATTTAGGAAATTTGCTTAGTATATCTGGTATCTTATTTTCATTAATAAGATATCTTGACATGTCACATAGGTTATTATACTGTCTGTCTCTGTATTCCTCAATAAGTGGACAATTAAGCACATAGTGTTCAAGAGAGTGACCATATGCCTGATCACATAATTTACATTTAGTTTGATCATCATCTGTGTGTCTCCCAAACTGCCAGAAGTACTTGTAACCAAGCCTAAGCCTGGCCACTACAACATCAGTCAGTCTGTTCACATTGCAAGTTGCTCCATAAACATACTTATCTACGTTCATGTTATCATAGTGGGTTATAGATCTACTCAGGCTTCCAACTGCATTCCTATAACAATCATTTTCATTATTTACTTCTCTCCTAATATTATTCCTAATGCTAGACACAGTTATACCAAAGTTATATTCTACGTTCTCCTTCTGGATACTCTTCTTGGCTAACATATCAACTTTATCATGAAGGAGTAATCCAATGTGTGATGGGATCCATAGCAATTGTACATTAATTCCTTTGTCCCTAATTTTTTGAGTATATACCTGGCTTCCCCAATGAGCATGTTGTTGGAGTAATTATATGAGTCAAGAGCCTTCAATGATGACATAGAATCAGTAATGATGATAGAGTCAAGCTCAGTGTCATAGGTTAGCTTTAGCGCCATTAGGATTGCAAACAATTCAGTTTGCAGTGTAGACGCCCAGTTTAAAATATTACAAAATTATGAGGTAAGTTGGTATTATGGCTAAGTGACTAAATACTAGTTTGTGAGTTTAGCAATGTGAATGCTTTTGTTTTGGCACTATACATAGTTTCAGTATTGGAGTATCACAGGCCAACTTATGACTAGTTAAGATTCATTATTTTGAGATTGAGATTGATATTTCTGTTTATGGTCAAATGGGCGAGTGAGTGTAAGTGTTAACCACAAGGTGGTATTCGTGTAATTAGTTGACAGGGTGTATCAGGGAGATAAGATGTTTTCTGATGGTAGTTTTGAAGGTGATGAATGTGTCTGCAGTTTTAGAATTTTCAGGTAGGGTGTTCCAGATTTTAGGGCCTTTGACATACATTGAATTTTTGTAAAGGTTTAGTCGGACACGGGGAATGTCATAGAAATGTTTGTGTCTGGTGTTGTGCCTGTGGGTTCTGTCACAACTATCAAGAAAGCGTTTTAGGTCAAGGCTAATATTGGAATTTAAGGAACTGTAGATGTAGATTGCACAGTAGTAAGTGTGGATGTACTGA